TAGAGAGAAAGACAGACCGAGGGTGTGACAGAGAATTCTCAATAATGATGGGGAATTGGAAAAAGGTTCCAGAATTCCTTGATCACACGGGATACCAAATCTCTGGATGCTCAAGTCTCTCTCATAAAAAGTCTCTGATAGAACTTGTGCATATTTTCCCATATGCTTTAAATAATCTCTGCATGACTTACATGGTCTATTGCAGTGTGTGTGTGTGTGTGTGTGTGTGTGTGTGTGTGTGTGTATGTGTTGTATGACTCACAAATACATATAATATAAAATATATTTAATGAGCCCACAAACATTGTAGTGACTCATTTTCTTAGGGAGCAACATCAAGATTCTCTTTAATTTCAAATTTTTGAAAACCAAATCAGAAATCCAATTTTCCCTTATCTCTATTCTTCTAGCTGCTTTCTTATTTTCTAGAAATTTTAAATGGAGCCTAAGTTCTGAATGAATTAATTACAAGATACAAGATAACCTAACTGTCCAAAGTCTCTCACAGAGTTGAGAGAAAAATATCTATGAGACAGATCCTGGAAGGTAGAGATTTTAAAATACAATGGAATGGCTTTGGTGAGAGCAAACATAGATGTAAGAAGAGCCATGCGCGCCTACCTGTGTCACCAGGATTAGTTTACATTCTTTTTGTCCTTGGCTTACTTGAATACACTGCCTGGCATAATGTTTTATCAGCAGAGATCCATCAACTCTAATAGCTCACCTGTTAATCAGGGCATTTGGGCCCGTGATCTGAGTGGGAATCGTGCTGCTTGGACCACAGGCATCATCTACAGAAGCTGCAAACTGAGGTGTGATTTTAGGGTGAGACTAGACATCTCATGTCATGAAACCCGTAAGCCCCCTGCCCATTATGAATCCAAGTATAACAATTAACATAAAGCACTGGAATTAAAAGTCAAATAAGTACCTTACCTGGTAAAGTTTAAATTCACTTATTAAATGTAATACTTCTAAATTTCAATTTATATGCATAAAAAAAGTTTAAAAAAGTATTTAGGAGAAAATTTATTACACTAAAGAGCTTACTGAAAAATATTCTTCAAAGATCTGAACTTGTATGTGTATTTGAAAATGAGAGACCAACAGTATTTTCAATTTACTTAAAATTCATAAAATTTACATACATGCAGGCAATACATTCATACACATAAAATAGAAATAAATCTTAAGTAGAGTCAGTTATATGACTCAGAACTAGCCAGAATAATCATTAATGACATCTATACAAATAAAAAGGCAGCAACAACTAAACTATCCATCAGGTTGAAAAAACACAGCTTTGTTCTTAATGAATGTTTCCTCTTGAATCATGAAATTAACCAACTGGATTTTAAAAGTCTCTACACAAAGTACTGGAAACTAAGTTTACTGGTAACTCCAGCAATAATTAGTTAACTGTATGATTTATACAATCCGGTTTCTGGAGATGAAACCTCTAAAAATATCAAGTTTGTTGACTGAAACATTTTAGAACAGTTCTGTCAAACAATTTTGTCCATTCACTTGATATGAGGTCTCAAACCAACTGTAAACAAATTAAAAATCACTACATGACTATGCAAGAGCGAGATTCTGCTGTAACATGAAGTCAAAACTAAACAGAACTAAACACAGTTTCTAAAAGTGAAACAAACCCCGATGAATTCTTAGCGCTTTTGCAATCTGAACTTATCTCAAAATAAAGACTAAGATATGGTGGGGGGGGCACTAATGCCACACAGCCAGCAGAATCTTAATTTTGAATATAAAAGTCTGTGGTTATAAATTATTGCTAAGATAATCTTGTGATTAAATATGTCTCAGTTCATGGTTGAAAAAATACGTAAGATAACTGAAAAATCAGAGGTGCCTTAGCTAAATACATTACAGTAGGGGATGTAAAAGTCCTAAGTCTTGCTGTAGAAATGAACTCACTGAAACTCACATTCCTATTCATCTGGCACTGCCATTCACATACCATTCTCCCTCTTGTTAATTCCACAGAAGTGCTGTCACAGGATCCACAGTCATATGAAAATGGCCAGCAGTCACTGCACGTGAAGTGCTGAGACCTACCAGTGCTCCTTGGGCAGTGCTGGACTTCAGCGCTATGTGTTCCAGTTCCAGAGGGGCCCCTTACAGAGGGAAGTGAGAGAGAGATTGGGTTCCACCTCCACAGGGAAACCTCACTGCCATGGCCAGCATTCAGCACCAAGGAGGCTTTATGGTTTTCTTTGGGGAGTAGCAGCAAGTCAGAGTGACTAGCAAGGAAAAGCAAGCCCTCCTCTCCATTAGTGCAAGTTGGCACCGTTTCTCAGGACCAACAGCACTTTCTACAGTGACAGATATGAACCACTGACAACGGAGACTGAAACTCAGATGCCAATTCTAATTTGTTGAAGTAACCTATGAAGGTAGTTGTGTCATGAGCCATGGTAACAAACCAACATGGAGCTGGCACAAAAACAGACACATCAAAGGACAGAATGGAGGGCCTGATAGAAACCTGCAAGGCAACAACAGTCTGATGGTCAGCAAAGGTACCCAAAACATTCATTGGCTAGAAGGCAAGCCTCTTCAACAAATGATGCTGGGAAAACTGGATATACATTTTGAAGCATGAAACTAGATTCCTATCTTATTCTGTAATAACTCTATTAAAAACTTTACTACAAAACTTGAAAATTTTCACACTACTAAAGGCAAACCTAGGAAAAATAGTTCAAGATACTGACACTGGTGATGATTTCCTGACAGGACTCCAACAATTAGGAAATAAGAACTGCTAAAAGGGACTACGAGTTAAAAGTTCTAGAGCAGCAAAGGAAACCATCAGAGCACTGAGTCTGCAGAAAGGGAAAACTGCCAGCATTTCACTTATACGGGATATTTAGAACTCAAACACCCAAAGAATCCAATTAATAAATGGGCAAGTGAACAGACTTTCTTAAGAGAAAAAGCATAAATGGCTCATAAATATAAGAAAACATATTCAACTCTTTTAGCTATTAGAGAAATACAAACAAGAAATATATATATATATATATATATATTCCATTTCACGCCAGTCAGAATAAGTATCAAGAAAGCAATTGGGAGGGAGGGTAAATCAGCTCAGAAATATGGAATTTTCTCAAAAAATTAAAAGTACTGGGGCTGGAGAGATGGCTCAGTGTTTAAGAGAACTGGATGCTCTTGCAGAGGATCTGGGTTTGATTCCCACCACCCATGTGCTGACTAACAATCATTTGTAACTCCAGTTTGGGAAATTCTGACTCTGTGGGCATTGCATGACACGGTGCACTTTCATACATGCAGGCAATACACTCATACACATAAAATAAAAATAATAAATAAGATAAAATAATTAAAATATAAAAGTACTACCATATGATCTAGCTATAATATTCCTGGGTATGTACTTGAAGGAATCTAATTCAGTAGACCACAGGTGCCTGCATATTCCTATTTACTGTGACACTATTCATAACTCAAGTTATAGAATAGGCCTAAGTGACTGTAACAGACATAAAGACAATGGAATTTTACTCAGTCACAAAGGAAAAAAGATTATGACACTTGCAGGCAAATACATGGAACTGAAGATCATCATGTTAAGTGAAATGAGCCACAGTCAGAAAGACAAGTATGGCATGTTTCCTTTCATATGCAGAATCTAGATTTTATTTATGAGAAGAAAGTGGAAGGGAGAGACACTTGAGAATCAGCAGGAGAAGAGGGGACATCAAGAGAGAGTATTGGGTAGGGTGACTATGATCCAAGGACATGACACATATGTATGAAAATTCCAGAGTGAAAACCATCATCCTGTACAAAGATTATATGCTAATAAAAAGGGAGGGAAGACTGTGACTTCAGAAAATGAAATAATCAATGCCACATAAAACAATATTAATGTAATGATTTCGATTTCATTATTACTAATTGTATATAATGCACAACAAGAACCAAAGATATTTCAATAGTAAATGACTTCATCACTACCTCTTAAAAGCATTATTCAATTCAAAACAAAAGGTATTATAGTGAGGTGAAGATGAAGTCATTCACTGGTCCATCTACACATATGGATCCAACAGGAACTCAGGTTTAATACAGGCATGACCATTCCTACATAAACAAGAGTCTATGTAGTACACAGTATTTTAGAAAAATAAATAATTATTTGGTCAATCAAAAAAGTTTATTTGAGGGCTGTTACGGCCAAGCCTGACAACCTGAGTTTGATATCTGGGACTTATCGTGGAGGGAGAGAACAGACTGACTGCCACAAGTTGTCCTCTGACCTCCACATGTGTGTAGTGGCACATGTACATGTGTATATACACATACACACACACACACACGCACGCTACATAAATAAATGTAATAACAATGTTTATATGATTCAAAAAGCAATAGTTATTTTAAAAAATACATAAAGCAATTTAAGTGGCTTTCAACTAATACCACAAAGGCAATGCTGGTATCGACCAGTCATCCTTCTGTGGACCAATTTTCTTTGCTTATTTTTGCAATAATCTTATTTTTAAACATTTTCCTTCTATCCCTTACCCTTTCTGCATCAACAATTAGGTCTTACACAGAAGTGACCATATTTCTTAAAATTTTTTTTGATGATAGTCACAAGATCACTGCCTCAAACTGTGACTCAGCTACTACTGTATGGAGGTGAGAAAGGAGGAGGGAAGGAAGCAGTGACACGTCATCAATGATCATAGGTACAAGCAATGATTCTCCAGAGGGAAGAATAAGCTACTGAGTATTCATAATGAAAAGTGTACTAAACTCCAGACTATCAAATAATTGATTTAAGCTAAGAGGTAAAGTTAGCAAACCTCCAGCCTTCAGTAAGAATCAGAAAAATAGGAATATAAAGAAACCCCCTGCAGGCATACATTAACTGACAAAAGCCTGCCTTCATCTACCACCTTGGGTAACATTCTGAGAGCTCAGGAATGCAGTGGGCTCACCTGTTGGAGGCAGGCAGTCTTTCCAGTCAAAATACCCTGCATATATTCCAGGTTCCAAAGAGCCAACAATGGGATCTGCTTTTAGCTCAATATAATTTTCAAAGAGTCTTTGGTCTAAGTCTTTCAGTGAGGCCATGCTAACCTATAACACAAATAAAGAATGTAAGTTGTCTTTAAATTTAAGAGCGAAGGAAAAAATAATGCAAAAAAGTGATTCAATACATTCTAATAGCACTTTAACAGTTTTTCTGCAAAGTTCAAACTTTTACTTTATGTACCTGAAGAATAAAGACAACTCTTAACCTGGCTATTTTACATAGTAAAAAATAATTTCTGGCCAGGCATGATGGTGCAGTCTTTAATTCTAGCATTCAGGAGGGAGAAGCAGGCAGATCTATGAGTTCAAGGTCTGTCTATGCTACATAGCAAGTTCAAGTTCATAGCTCACAAAGCTATATTCAGTGAGACCTTGTCTCAAAACAAAATGAAACACAACAACTACTGGTAAAGCAGAAACAGTGTTTCTGACCTAGGGGAAAACATTTCCTGTGATAATGTGCTATTCTGCTTTCCTTAGCAGCTGTGTGTGTACAGAGTGGGGATCCCATCTCCTGCAACCTGGCCCGCACACATACCAGTGCTTACAATGGGCAGCGCTAAACAAGAGATGCCCACATTCTCTCCCTACATGCCACATTCTAAGCATTTCTATGAAATTGTCTTTAGCTCAACTCAACTCAAGATGCATTAAAAAAATAAAAAACATTATTCTAATGTAAGTTAATGCTTCCAGTTTAATGTTAAATTTATAATGCAAAAAGTATTTTTGATAAAAATGCTTTTTAAAAACTCTATTTCTAAGAAATAAAAACAACAAAGTAAACCACTACTTTTCATTTCAAAGATGACAGAAGTTCGTTCACCATGGCTAGCACTATTGAAGCAAGTGCCTCAGTGTTCGTCAGAACATCTAGCAAAGAGACTCTGAAGCATCGGACTTGGCCAGACTGAGACGTACAGATGTCTTAGCACTTTACAATTGGATGGCAAGACAGACTGAAAACTCACATTCCTGTTATTAAATCACAGTGTATCAATGTGGACAAAATGAATGTCAAACAAAAAATTAATTTGGAGGCTGGAGAGATGGCTCAGCAGTTAAGAACACCTGCTGCTCTTCCAGGACCCTAGTTCAGTTCCCAGCACCCATGTTAGCTGGCTCACAATATAATTCCAGTTCCAAGGGATCCAACCCCCTCTTCTGGTCCCTGTGGGTACCTACAAACTTATACACATGTGGCATACACACACACACACACACACACACACACACACACACACACACAGAAACAAATACCTACACATTAAGTAAACATAAGAATGTTTAAAAAAATAATTTGGAGCAATAAGCTAATTCATAGTAAGAGGTGGCGTTATTATTTATCTTTTTTCTTTTTTTTTTTTTTTTTTTTTTGGGTCTTTTTGAAGCAGGGTCTCCCCAGCTGTCCTGACACTATGTAGACCAGGCTGGCCTTGAACTCACAGAGATCTGCCTGACTCCGCCTCCCAAGTGCTGGGACTGTGGCATTAGTAACAGAAAAAAAAGCAAGGTGTGGATGAAGGATGAGGGTCCATGAGGGACCAAGGCTCTGCCTCTTGCCTCCACTGCCCAGTGGGTTACACACAATGACCCACTATGCCCGAGTGGTAAATATGAGCAAACCTTGAGAGTTGTCTTCATCTTCTGTGAATGTTTTATAATCAAGCTAACCATCTCATATCACACTGATCTGGCTCCAGTCCTTACTCCAATCTTCTTCTTAATGCAGAATCACAGACAGACTGTACTGATTTGGCCCCACAGAACTATCTGAGGATAACGGGAAGGACTTCACTGCCAACACTGCCCCTCTAGTGGTGTCTGAAATTACACTACAGCAACTTAATCTCTTCCCTTTCCTTACCCAAAAGGCTAAATTTCTAGAGATAAAAATTAACTGAAATATAACTCCAATGAGCAGCAAATTCCAGCAAAATTAGCCACAGGTGAAGGCATAATGACTGACAGAGTTGAAGAAATATCCGTGTTCAGTACTGAGGGTTCACGATGCAGGGAACAAAGAAAAACTTAAAAGTGCTGTGGAGAACGCGAGGAGGGAGGCCTACATACATCCAACAGCAGATTTTAATGGACACTGAGCTAATCAGAATGCAGTATCCAGTGCCAACCAATGGTGGGAAGGAAGCATCAAATGAAGAAGGGAACACGGTCCATCCCCACCCTGGGAGAACGAGGAGAAGCCACGAGAAGCTGACAAGTCACATGTAGAAGGACATCTACACCTGGAATGAGTGGCTCAGAGGGCAGTGAAGACTCCGGTTGGTCGAGTGAGACTGGCTGAGGAAGGACATTCCACACAGACAGCGAGGCCACAAGCGAATGCTTTTCCAATGGCACAGGGAGCTGGTGTGGAAGGAGCCATTGAAAGAATGAGTGAGTGGAAAGATGCTTGGAACAAATGGGTTGAACGGCAGCATCCTGCAGTGGAGAGACAGAGGAAAGCCCCCCTCAAACACCCATCTGGGGTATTTGGCTTCATTCTTCAGGCTACGAGAGACTCTGAATATGTGGGGGCAGAACTGTGAGCCCAGTCTGGGGGGTTCTGAAAGTTTGCTGGATACTCTGTGATGGATGAACCAAGGAGCAAAAGAATTTAGAGGTGAGCAAGGCTTCTGCAAGGTAGGTTCCTGAAACAACACAGGGGTCAGATGATGAAGAAAAGGGCATACTTTGGGCAGGAAAGTCCAAGGGTTGAGCTCTGAAAACTGTCATGAAGGATGGAGTCAGGAATAATACTCGCTAATAGAAGAATGAGCAGACAGGAGTTGGGGATGTGACTCAGTTGGTCGAGTGTTTGCCTACCATGCATGAAGCCTTGGGTTCAGTTCTCAGCACCACATAAAATTGGGTATGTTGTCACATGCTGTAATTCTAACACTTGGGAGGTAGAGGCAGGGATATCCTCAGCTACATATTGAGTCTGGGTCCTGCCTGGGCTACCTAAGACCTTGTCTCAAAACAAAAACAAAAAGAAAAACCCCACAAAAATACCCATAAACGAATTGATAAAATATGGCAAATATAGTCTGATATTACACAGGTCCATAAAATAAAACCACAACATTTGAAATTAGAATGTGGGGCAGGGGGGCACTGTGTTTAGTGAAATGAACCAGGCTCAGGCTGCATGTTCTCATCTGTGGGTAGAAGAGGTGTGTTTTTAAAGTCGGTTTCATTGACACAAAGCAGAAAGTGACTTAGAGGCTATGGGAGGAGGTGGAAGGGACGATAAAGGGGGAGATGCAGATCAAAAGGCACCCAGTTGCACTCAGAGTGGAGGAACTCCTTCCAGAGACTACACCTTCTGGTGTTGCAGCTCATGATCAGACTTCACAATTACTTGGAGAATACTTGTTTAATGTTCTCACCACAAAACATGGTGAGTAGATGGTATGTTAATTAACCTGATTTACACTTTCTCCCATGTACAAAGATCAAAACATCACACTGTACTCATTATAAATACATATAATTATCATTTGCCAACTTAGATCCTCAAACAACCTTAAGTGTAAATATAAATTGATTTATTTGGGCCAGCTGTATGGTCTTAAACACCCAAAAGGAAAGTATAACCAAAAACTAAAGTGATCAGTACATTTCTTTTTAAGAGTTCAAGGGATTACACTTCTCAGATACAAGGCTTAAGTCCATATAAAAAGTTATTTAGACAATTATCTCTCACTGATGATTTTGTTCTGAATCAGAAAGTGCTGCTCAGATGTATATACTGTAGTGCCCACCTGTAGCTAAGGGAGACAACCCACTATTGTTCTAAAATGATGGCTGAATTTGTTTTCTCCCCCTATCTAGAAGCCTTTGAGAGGGAATTGACACTGATTCTAACCACTCCAACAGCTATCAAAATGCCTGAAAGCAAATCCTGATCAAGTCCAGCCTTGGTAGACAAAAGAAAAATGAGGGGGAACCCAAAAGAGAGATGCTTTGAAAGCTCTCATCAAGAAATTCCAGTGGACTCTCATATGAACATTTGAAATTTGACCTGTTCTGACTTTTTTCTAGTTCCCTGTCTGGAACTTGTAATGCTAATTACTCCTGCCTTTACTTCTCCTTCACATCGCCTAGTTATTGGTCAAGGACTTTCTTTTCCCCCTACAGATGAGTTATGCAACTTGGGAGTCTTTTAGACAGACCCACTGAAGGGGTACTCCAATTGCCTCACCCTATTCAGCATGGAAGAAACCAGAGCAGTCGGCATCCCGATTTCCGATTGGCAATCTGGGTAACCCCTTCAGAGGATGGTGTGGTAAGAATAGGAGGTAGGAACTGGCTAAGCAGTTAGTGTAAAAAGACCCCAAAGAAAAGTAGCCAGCTTCTTGGCTAAAAGTCAAAATGTCCCTGGGCCTCTTAGCAACCTACTCCGTTCCAAAGACCAAAAATGTGGAAAGTATTTGGGAGCTCTTATCTAATCCTTAAAAGAATTTAGGGTTACCTCTTGAGAGGGGATAATGTTAGAGTAGCAAAAAGACTGATTAAAAAAAAAGAAGAAAGAGTACATGAAGTTATCAGAAAAAAGTGATGGGGAGATAAAGAAGGAATTGGAGGGGAGGGAGTGGGCATGGATTTGATCAAAACACCTTATATGCTTATATCCCTGTATGAAATTCTCAATAAATTATTTTTAAAAATACACATATAACTAGGAAAAAGAACATGATCTATGTTTATGAGTGTATTGTCTGCCTGCATGCATGCAAGTGTACTCATATCGTGCAAATGCCCACAGAGGTCAGAAGAGGGTGTCAGAGCCCCTGGAACTGGAGTTATGTATGGTTCCAACATGTGGGTGCTGGGAGTCACACCCAGGTCCTCTCTAAGAGCAGCCAGTGTTCTTAAAGGCTGAGTCATCTCTCCAGCCCCCATGATCCCTAAAATCTGGTGGGCTGGCTGACCCAGTGGTGGCTGTGACAGGAAACACATAAAAGGTATTATGGAAATGGAAGAGCAGGTCAGATGCTAAAAGCTTTTGCAATGTGATGGTAATTAAGAACTTTACAGCA